TGTAAAATATATATATATATATATATATATATATATATATATATATATATATATATATATATATATATATATATATATATATATATATATATATATATATATATATATATATATATATATATATATATATATATATATATATATATACCTCGGGAAATTTCTGCTGAAAATTACAATTGATACTATCTTTGTCACTAGTATCTTTAAACTCATGACCACGCCTTTCTGACATGTATCTCTCTTTGTCCTTTTGCAATTCACGAACTTGAGCTCTCAATTCTTCCAACGACTCCATGACTTTTTTATTGGTCAGATTTTTTTTCTTTGGATTCTTATACAATTTTGTTGGAGTGGCACCAAACCCCTTACCCCTCACACGATCCCAGTATACTCAGGAACATTTAATACTCGACTGGGTAGGCTCCTATAATCATGGTCTTCAGATGCAGTTATAGTCTGGGATAGACTCTCCTGAAATGCAGAAAAATATCAGTGTGGATTAAAAAGCATAAATATATTATATGTCACTACACTTTTGAGTTTATGACAGAACTAATTTTATACTTACACATTGCTCAAAAACTTGTTGAACATCTTCCGGAACAACTTCATCTCTACCCACACGAGCAACCTTCCACAAAACATGTTCCGGAACAGATGTTGCATCACTTTTCTCCTCTTCTAACTGCACGTTGAGACAGATAATAAGTTTCACTTTTCTCGTATTTTAATTTCATCCTAATAAAGCATTTATATATACTTACTATTTTCTGTTGTAAGCGTGCATATCACAAACGCCATTTTCTGTATGGATACACGAGTTTTGATGCTCGTTGCCGATTTATGTCACTCATAACCTGAAAAAACAAGTTTAAGCCATATCAGAACTCATGTGAAATAAGTATATATATTATACATTGTTCATGATAAGATAAAATTACATGGAATTATTTGGTTCTTCTCTTGGCAACAAAAGTCTCCCATTCTTCAAGTGAAATCAAATTCGCATACTTCTTTGGTCGCTTTGACTCAACAAAGTTTCCATCAGAATCCTTAAGAAACTTGTTCGTTAAAAATGTTCAAAATCCTCTAAGTCTTTTTCCGGCTAATTGAAGACAATATTTTTTCCGGTTGTCATCAATATTAAAAGACCTCTGCAAATTAAACAAATTAACATACATATAGTGTATTAGTATAAATAATATAAAGACATAACCATCAACAAAAATAAATAATGTCAGATATGATACCTGTATCTCACTCCATATTTTTTCTTTAGCGGGTTTCAACTATGGAATTCTCCAATTATCACAAGTGATTGGAATTTGCGAGCGAACAAGTGCACCAATGTAACTTGTTAACACCGCACCGTTAGGCTCAATTAACTGGTCTGTTTCATTCCAATGCAGATCATATTTTATACCTTTATCTCTCACACAAATGATTCCCTTCATAATCGTTATTCCTCTTGAAATATCTCCTTCCACATCATGTACTGGTTCGTTTCCATCCTCTAAAGGAGTATCATGTGAGTTTTCCTCGTTGTTAGTCATAATACCTGTAATTCAAAAAAACACACTTATTAAATGAATGAGAAATACATATGAAATGAAAAACATATGGTGCATGTTAGAGTTTCTTATCATACTTTTGTGAATACATGACTTTGCATGGGAGCCATATTAACTTCAACTAGTATATACTATTATTTAAAACAAATTTTTGATATATTATCAATAGTACTAATAGTACTAATTTTTTACCATGTTCAGCTTTTTCTACTAAATCTCACTTAAAAATAGTTACATTAATTAATAAGATCCTTTTTTTTGTTCTCACTAACTAATTTTAATGATTTTTTATATATATTTTAATTCATGAGCAACACCGGAAGCGGAGGCACCACTGTGTCAGCCACCACAAGTGGTTCAAAAAAGACCAAAATGGTATCAACAACAAGTAATAACAACAATATGAGTCTTTGTAAGAAAATTTCAAAGAATGGAGTAACATTTCTATACTGTTTTCCTACACTATCTTTCTAAAATTTATACATTATCATTTCATCAAAATATGCATGTTTTAGTTCTTATACACTAATCATATAAGAGTATAAATAATGAGAACATGAAAATCAAAGTACCTTGAAAATGGTGGAATGACCGAACAGAGGAGACACGACTGACGGAGGGAGACGACGAAGGCGGAAATGATGGACGGACGGAGTGAATAGGGTTTGTCGCGAAGTTGCTGTGTTTCGTTTTCAGAAAGTGCTGTCGGATGAAAAATGAAACGACTGTCTGAAATAAAATATTTTATTAAAATAGATATCACATATAACAACGCTTTTAAAAATCGCTTTCGTATGCCCCCCCTAAAGCAACGCTTTCATATGAAAGCGCTTTCGTATGCCCCCCCCCCCCTTTAGCAGCGCTTTGAGAAAGCGCTCTCGTAGCCCCCCCTTTAGCAGCGCTTTTAGAAAGCGCTTTCGTAGCCCCCCCCCCTTAGCAGCGCTTTCTAAAAGCACTTTCGTAGCCCCCCTTTTTAGCAACGCTTTTTGGAAAGCACTTTCTTTTGTATTACAAAATTGACACTTTTAGCAGCGCTTTCTAATATGTGGTGTTGTGAGATTGTTTAAATGTTGTATGATGACATGTGATATTATATGTATGTCGTGAAATGTTAAGTGATTTCATATGATGTCGTGGGAATTGTGTAACATGTGTTTATGCTACCCTTTGCTATGTTATACCATGTTATTTTATAGAATGTATTTTCACCCCTTTATTTCATGTTCCTCAATGTGAATCTATATGCAGAGTATTCTCAAGTAAAGACTGAGGAATATTTGCTTGCGGTATTTTATAGAAGATGGTGTAGAAGACCACTTTTTTGTTTTTCATTTATGTTTATGTCCTGCTGAATTATTAAGTCAGTGAGTTGATTTATTTGGTAATAAAGCTTTGATAATGTAATGTTGGGGTTGAGATTCCTAATTAAAATTACTATGTTGATGTTTTGTTTTGAACTAAAACACTTAGTTATGAAGAAACGTTTAAGTTGCTTATGTTGATGTGACACCTTTGATTTATATTTTTTATTTCCTCCATGGTTACTATATTATAAAAATGGAAGGAAAAAATTAGGGTTTAGGGTGTTACATTGCCTGCGAAACAAAACTTATTTTTGGTCACTAACTTTACTATACCACTTTTTTTCCGAATCTGTCTCCTGTTATATAATGTTTAAGCATTTGTCCATTTAACATAAATAAACTAGTGGACTCATTCCAAACCTCGACTGCACCAAATGATGTTACTTTTCTTACCTGTAATGGCCAAAACCATTGAGAGCAGAACTTTCTTGGTAATAGCTTAAACCTAGAGTTAAATAACAATGCAATCTCTCTAAAATCTCTTTTCAGGATGTGCTTATCATGCCATCTGTTAATTATTCTCTTATAGAGCCTAACAATTTTCACAAGCATTCAGTCTCAATTCTTCTAATTCATTAAGTTGTCATTTTCTCATTTCTCTTTGACATCTCCAAATTCAAGGTTAAGGGCCTTTATCTCCCATAAAACTTTGTGCTCACTTTCAATTGAGACATGACACAATTTTTCATAAATTAGTTTAAACGAGTCATTCTAATAGGTGTTTTATACGTTGTTTGATAGACCCAGAGCATATCATCTACTAATGTATATCTCATTTTGTGGATATTATGAATTACAAAATTATTTTATGTGGACGTAAATATAAATTCACGACAATTCATTTATTCATTTTTAAATAATAAAATTTTGATGATTAAGCTACTTATATTCTCAATTCTACACTGATAAGTTAGTTGAAAAAAGTGTTTGATCCCCATAACAAAATATTAATATTATTTTTCTGAAAGCAAAAGATAAATTTATTAATTTTTGTAGTTTTTCAAGGTGGGCTTAATTACGTTTACATTAGTTTTATCTTGATGATGCCCATTAACCTTATAAGCTAGATACGATTTTTATTCTTTATTGCCTTTTTGGGCTACACTACGGGCCCTATAATTCTCTTTTTCTATTTACAAAGTGGATCAAACGACTGTCGAGGCCCATTAAGATTTTCTTAATGTTGGATACTATCCAACCGAAATGAGTTATATCTCTGGGGGCGCCGTTTTTGCCTATCTCAGATGCTCCAGAAACCCTAACTTTCGTTTGCTCTTTTTTGTGTGTTAATACTATCTACTTCGTTTTTCGTCTCAGCGAGCTTTCATCCTCATTCTGAGTTCAGGTACTACCATCTTTGCGACTTGTCTCAAAATCCTTTCCATTACATTTTGTACTTAAAGTTATAAAGGTATTTTCTCAATCGTTCAACACCATACCTTGCGATCGATAAGAATTTTCACATTTGTAAGGTTCATTTAGATCTTATAAAATTATATATTTTCGTTTTTAATTTTATTATATCAATATTTATAATTCAAATTTCCACATAAACAATTATGAAATAGCTAATAAATTTTTTTTCTTCCAAAAACTTAAGATCCAATCTTAAAATTGACTGATCTAAAATAAATTTCACCGATCTATTAATAAAGTTTTTGTCGATCTATTAATGAAATATCTGATGAAGTTGCTCCTCCAATTTAACCAGAATCATTTTAATTACAACAAACATAAAAATGTTTAGAAAAAAAATCTACATAAAATAGTAAAAAATGATTCTAATAAATATTTTTAATAAGTAAAACATATCATGAAAAAAAAAAAAAAATATACATCAAGTCATGAAAATAATGATTTTGATATGACAAGTAATAACTCATGAAGTGAAAACCCTTGAAACTATCACGCTTTTGGAATTTTATGCTCTCTATCTATAGCAACACAAGCGCTTTCCTGATTTAGGGTTTTCTCTTTGATTTTCTTCCTATTTTCATTTCCATTTTCACTGTTAACTGTTAAAGTTTTCACCTTTCAACCATTTTTGTATCAGATTCTGTTTCAAATGGGAGGAAGAGAAGAAGGGTGCAGATCTTGGGAGGAAGACGTTTACTGGTCACATTTTCAATTCATCCATTTCACCCAATTTCTCCGCACTGATTTTGATCAACAACTTGTTAGTATTCCTTTCATTTATGTCCATATTGTTTTTTTTTTTCTTTTTCTTTTTCACATTCTTAAAATATTTTTTAACCTTATTTTCACATTATTTTAACCTACCCTTATAATATTTTTACAAACCCTTTAACTGCAGTCACTTTTTTTATGTGAAAGTTTTGATCTTTGGATAAGCTGTTGAGCTGCGGTCAATTTTTTTATGAAAGTTTTGATCTTTGGATAAGCTGTTAAAGTGTAATTTTTTTTTAACCTTTGATTATTATAGTTTATAGATGTGACTGTTTTTTAAATATTGGGTTATGATTTGTGAGATTAGGTGTTGATCTGCTTTGTGTTTGTTTTTGCTGACACTTTGTTTTTAGCTTACATTGCTGTGAATGAATCATGTGTTTGTGTGACACCTTGTTTTTAGATTACATTGCTATGCATGAATCATACATTTACATTTTAGGTTCTGATCATGCATGCATCCTGGTTGAGTCATGTTTATGATTTGTGAGGCTTTGAAGGAAAAGATAAGGAAGTGAATGACTAAGGAGATTCATAGATTGTAACGTGGTTGATCTTGGGTTGTTATTATCACTTTTTAAATCGTGTATTTGAGATTATTAATCTAATGGTTGTTTTTTAATCAGATAGTTATGATCTCTGTAGCACCAACACTTCTGATTGAAGGTGTGTTCGGTGTCTGACATGTATGAGAGTCTTGGGCAGGTGTCTGACACTTGCATGACACCAACACATTTGATTACTGATATTTTTGAAAGGTGTGTTTGGTGTCTGACACATGGGAGTCTTGGGCGGGTGTCTGTCACTTGCATGACACCAACACATTTGATTACTGATATTTTTTAAGTTATTACTGGTGTGGTCATGTTGATGTTAGTACCGTGTCCGGCGTTTGTGTTGTACTTCATAGGCTGTGATTGACTTTTAGGCATATAGTCTACCAACATGTCTCTGTTCAGCTAAAGCTCATTGGATTATATTCTGAAATAGGAATTTATTTTCTGTTTTCAGGCACTTCCCAAAACATTTTCAGACAACATAAAGAAGAAGTTGCCAGAAAGTGTGACCCTAAAAGGTCCTGGTGGAATGCTGTGGAATATAGAGCTGACAGGTAGAGACGGTACCTTGTACTTCACACACGGTTGGCAACAATTTGTGAAAGAACACTCTTTGAAAGAAAATGATTTCCTTGTCTTTAAGTACAACGGTGAATCGTTGTTTGAGGTTTTAATCTTTGATGGCGAGAGTTTCTGTGAGAAGGCAGCTTGTTATTTTGTTCGAAAAAGTCGGCATGCCGTCAATACTGAACATGGTGGTGGATGTTCTAGTAAGAAAAGGGACACAAGGGACACAGATAATTCTGTTGAAGAAGTCAATACTCCTTCTAATGGTGTTGATGAAGGTGTTTCACCTGAGAAATCTTTGCATCTTAACAAAATCCAAGTGCCATTTGCTGTACCTATCGAAACTTTTAATGGAAAGACTTCTAATGCTGGTGTTGAATCTGTCTCCGCCGAGCAATTCGTGTCCGATGCAGTCACTGATACTGAGACAAAAACTGTTCCCTCCCCAACAACTGGTAAACGGACGAGGAAGCCTGTTTATGCCGATACATCTGTCCCGAGTAAGAAGAGAGGAAGGCCACCAAAAATAGCTAATTCTCACGAGAGTGCTCTTAATTGGGTGTCTGGTAACATTTTTACTTTTATCATTTAGAGAAAGAAACATAGAAAAGTTGTGGTAAACGTGGTGCACTGATGGCATAGTTTTAACCATTGTGCAAGAAATTATTTATTTTATCCAATGAATGCAATAGTAAGAATAAGAACTATCTGCGTATCTGTGCACACTGAAAACCACAAACACCCAAGAAACTTATCTTACTACTGTTTTATGGATTTTTTTTTATCTTCAAAACACTTGTATGAGTGAAATTTCTTGCTGAAAAATTTGATTTTCAAAAACTGTAATATTTTTGTTAAATAGTAGTTGGACATTATAGTTTACTGTCCTTGTTTGAGTCCAACATTGTGACACTTGTGGAATCAATTAAAGAAATAAAATGAAAAGCACTTTTCTTCTTTGTAGCACTGACATTTCTGAATTAAGGTGTGTCTAATGTCCAGCACAAGTTAGTATCGGACACGAACACGACTGAAACACGTTATTACCAATGTCGTTGTATCACTTTTGTGTTCGGTCTCTATTTGTGTCGGTTTTTCATGGCTTTTCTTGAGTATATCTCTTTTAATCAATAAATGTACTGGTTGTTGACGTGCTAACTTATTTTGATAATATTTTTAAGATGCTGAACTTTCTCCAAAGGCCTCTCCAAAGGCCTCCCCAAAGGTTAAGTCTGTGACACAGGAACTATATGCTTCAAATAGAAGGCCTGTCACACAAAATGAGATTGAAAACACTCTTCGGTTGGCCCAGGCAACATGTACCGAAGACACCTTGCTTGTAACTATGCGACCTTCGCATGTATACAAGAGATTCTTCGTGGTAAACTGCTTTCTCCCTTTCTTTCTACATTTTAAACTTTATTATACAATGCATACGTTGATACTAATCACATATATTTTTTATTTTTTTGTGACTAGTCATTCCCTAATAAGTGGATACTAAACCATCTTTCTCCGTCAACTCAAGATGTGAGATTACGCATGGGTAAGGGTGAATGGGTTGGGAAATACTGCTTTCATAATATTCGTAACAATGGAGGACTTAGCGGTGGGTGGAAATATTTTGCGCTTGAGAATAACCTCGAAGAGTTTGATGTGTGTTTGTTTAAGCCAGCTGGTTATGTGCAAAACACACTGGTCTTAGAAATGACAGTTTTTAGAGTTGTTGAGGAGATTACCCCTCTTACTGCCGTGCATTCTTCGGGAAAGAAGAGATCAATTAAGAAAACACCATCTGGTGAACCATTATTAAAGAAGAGGGGAGTTATGATAACCCCAATCAGGGCTATCCAAACAGAACTTGACTCCATTGAAGGTGCGTAATTGTGTCGGTCGAGGAAAGTTTCATTGTTAGAATTATGCTATAGTATATGTTTAACAGTTGTGTTAGGGCTGTAGACTAAGCTATGTAATATCAAATGTGTTTGTATTTTGGATGTTATGTTGGATTGTTTAACTTATTCAGTTTTCTGCTTCTACCTATATGTAATTCACATACATATGTAAACTTTCTATTGCGTCAACTAGACTTTTTAATCAAGTTTGAATTGATCTACATCTACCTTCATGGATTGATCTATTGTTCAAGGTTTTGCATTTGTTCATCTTGATTCATTATATATATAATCTGTAATATGAAAAAATTAGTCCCGTGTTTCACATGATCTCCAATTCTTCATTATCAAATAGCTAAACAACAAAAGGAATTCCCTTGAAAGTTTATGCAGCTACCCTACTAGAACATAATCTGGCAAAGTAAGTTCCTCTAGTGGATTATTTCTCTGTTTGTCTTTATTGAATTTTTTTTTATAGGCAAAGAAATTCACTAATAGACAGTATACTAAGAGTGCACCAACCTTACAATGGTCGAACCACAACACCTAACACCAACAACAATCGGCAGAAAATCTAAAAGGGATTTTAACCAGTCATAAAAACTACATTTAGTTTTAGATTGGTTACAAAAATCTAACCACCACCATGAAGTAATGATCACCCTATGTGCGATGTCCTCTTGGCTTGCAATCATATCATTAAAAATCATTTGATTACAAACCCACCATATAGTCAACAAGCCACAACCTGTGACCTTGGATGAACTCCTCACCGTTTTTATAAACCATTGAAACAAATGATCACATGCATTATCTACTTCCTCCCAATATATTCCCACCCAAAGTGCTAACTTTTGCCAAATAATACGAATAACAGGACACATGCAAAAGAGGTGATTCCTATCCTTAGAGTAGCGAAAACACAACACATACTAAGTCATGAGAAGAAGAGATTATACCCCTGGCTGCCAAATTAGTTATAGTTGGAAGTCTATCCCACACCAATCTCCACCCAAAGGTTTTAACTTTGAGGGGAACTTTAGTTTGCAACACAACTTTCAATGCGGTATTGGGTATAATCTCCAAACCAATAAGCCCAACAGGAAGCAACATAGCCTTAAAACATGAAGCTACAATGCAATCATCTATTTTGCCACCAATCCAAACATATTTGTCCACAGCTCTTTGAGCCGGCCTAACATGGTGCAGCAACTCTAGCAACTTGCTCATCTCTTCAGCTAGAACACTATGAAGCTCCTGTGAAGGAAAGCTCAGATTCCATAACCATACTTCATCAACCCAGTCCCTTAACTTACTAATCACTGCCAACTTATCTGTAGCAGCCTGAAAGAGGTTTGGAAACGTGTTGTGCAGAGGAGTAGAATGAAGTCACTTGTTATGTCAAAATGAAATTGCATTTCCAACTCACCTTGCATGAAATTTGAGAAATGAAGCTCTATTGATGCGTTAAATCCCCTATCTTCATCACATCAGACCACCATAAAGAGATGTTCTTTAATGCTATAATGTTCTACTTAAGCATTATTCTGTCCCTCAAATCCCCGTATCTAGCTTCAAGAATGTCAGTCCAAATTGAAGAATGATTGTTGACAAAGCGCCAAAGCCATTTGGACACAAGTGACTCATTAAAAACCTTCAAATCTTTAACACCCAAACCTCCATGTTTCTTTGGCAATCATACTTTCTCCCACGCAATCCAAGCCACATTCCCTGTATCTCCTACCAATCTCCTACCAACCTTGAGCCAACAAGTGAAACATTATTAGTATAAAAGTCTTGTAAGACCTTATATATATAGTATAATTAGAAATCATAAGTTAAATACCTGTTTATCACGGAGATGACATTGCAAATAAATAAATCTTTTTGTAATCTTATTTGGTTATTTGCAATTTAGTTAGTTATATTAGCATTTTATTCCTTTTAGAAACCTTGTGTCAGATGCATGTTGTCGCTACTGTAAAAATCGAAGGCCGACAATGACAGAAGAATCGCCACCGTGTGTTATTTATCCCAAGAGAGGGAAAGGAAACGCTCAGAGAAAACCTAACGAAAAGAGGGATAAGATCGGTCATCGCAACCAAATCTCGGGTTCGGGAGTCGGTTACGCAAGGGGAAGGTATTAGCACCCCTCACGTCCGTCGTACTCGACGGGATCCACGCTTGTTGTCTAGTCTATGGGTGAAAAACAAACTATCTACGGCTGCTAAAGATAAAACGGGAAGAACTAAAAGGAACGGAAAGAACTGACTCGATAGAGCGTCGCCGCTCTATGCCTACGTATTCCCTCGTGCAATGGGAAAGTCAGACTCAACGTAGTTCGGAAAACTACGGGGCGGGGGGGGGGGGGGGATTGCTCGCCAAGACATCGCGTCTTGTGCCTACGTATTCTCATCTGGTACGAGAAATCAGAGCAAAACGTAGTTCAGGATAACTACGGGTAAACAAGGTGTTCTCGACCACACGGGGGTGGGAGAAGAGATTGACGATACTAGCGTACGCATTCTAGCAGTTAGGTGTATGCTGCTCGACCATTGGAGACTTAGGCGTTACCTGTTTGCGGTAGAACGGACGTAGTATGTCGGGGTTTAAAGATAAATTATAACGTATTTGTTCCGGAAGAGAAGTTCACTTTTCTCCTCTTCTAAATATATCATTGTAAAACATTTATATATACTTACTATTCTTTGTTGTAAGCGTGTATATGCCAAACGCCATTTTCTATATGGATACGCGGGTTTTGATGTTCGTTGGTGATTTATGCCACTCACAACCTATATAAACAAGTTTAAGTCATATCAGAACACATGTGTAACAAGAATATATATTATACAATGTTCATGATAAGTAAAAATTACATGGAATTCTTTTGTTCTTCATTTGGAAATAAAAGTTTCTCATTCTTCAGGTGAAATCAAATCTGCATACTTCTTTGGACGTTCTGATTCAACAAAATTTCCATCAGAATCCTTAAGAAATTTGTTCGTTAAAAATTCTCAAAACCCTCTGAGTCTTTTTCCGGCCAATTGAAGACAATATTTTTTCCGCTCGTCACCAATGTTAAAAGACCTCTGTGAACAAATTAACATACATAGATCGAGTGTGTTAGTATAAGTAATTTAAAGACATAATCATCGACAAAAACAAATAACTTCGCATATGATACCTGTATCTCACTCCATATCTTTTTTTTAGCGGGTTTCAACGATGGAATTCTCCAATTATCACAAGTGATTGGAATTTGCGAACGAACAAGTGCCCCAATGTAAGTTGTCAACATTGCACCGTTAGGCTCAACTAATTGGTTTGTTTCATTCCAATGTACGTCATATTCTATACCATTGTCTCTCGCACGAATTAATCTCTTCATAATCGTTATTCCTCGTTTAATATCTCCTTCTACGTCATGTACTGATTCATTTCCATCATTTTTAGAAGTATCATGTGCATTTTCCTCGTTGCTAGCCATTTAACTTGTAATAAAGAAAAACATAAATATGAAATGAAAAATATCAACATCCATAATCCATAATCCATTGAATATATAAAATAACAAATATAGAATTTTATTGAATGACAAATATATAAAAGTTAATTGAATGACATAATATATTTATTTTTACTAGTACCTTTTTCATTAACATCTCTTTCTTTTATTGGTTGGAATATGGTCTACTTGTCTCTTAACAACACGGACAGATGGATTGATCCAAATTCCCTCGTTATGATTATTTCTAATATATGATTCATTTGCTCTAGTATTATCATCTTGATCATATATAATATACGACTCATTCTCAACATCAATATCACCTTGATCTCCAATGTTATCATCAATTACTTTGTTAGATAAAAGCACGATAGACCATTTCATACTAGTTAGATCAGTGACATAGAACACTTGTTTAGCTTGTGTGGCTAGAATAAAAGACTCATCTTTGTACCCCACCCTATTAAGATCCACTTGCAAAAATCCTGACTTATCCATTCATATGTCACTATTATTTTCAACTCACCTGCAACCAAATATAGGAATCTGAAACTTTTCATAATCAAACACCCAAATGCGCTTGATAACCCCAAAATATGACAGATTTGCATATTTGGGGTTTAAGTCCTTCACACTTGAAATGTGCATTACTTCAGCTACCACGGTGACACCATTATTTTGCATAGTACTTTTATCATCTTATTCTTTGGTATAAAAAGTGTATCCATTAATTGCGTATGCACTATAAGAAAACACATGCAAACTTGGACCATATGCTAAACATCTCAACCTGTTATTGAAGCGGGATCTGAATAAAACTTTGAATAAATATAATCCTTGAACCATGGTATAAAACTTTGATTGTGCTATCGTACTATCCATTTTTCATTTCTATTCGGATTCAAACCTCGGAGTTCATCCTTATGCATTTCAACATACGGCTCAACCTCATTGTCATTGTGCAGAACATACAAATACACTTGCTCCCGTTCAGCCTTTGATACTGTCACAATTTTATTTTCAATTAACTGTTTTCCTTCTTTTTTTTTCCCGACAACATGAGATTTGGGGAGTCCAATGGATTGAACTTTGGATAAATATTCAGTATAAAACTCAATCGCTTCTTCGACAATGTATCGTTCAACAATACATTCCTCTGGTTGAGTTTGGTTTTTCAAATACCCTTTTAATATTTTCATATAACGTTCAACAGGGTACATCCATCTCATATAAGTTGTTTCATACAGTTGTGTCTCTTTCAAAAGATGAACAACTAGATGAATCATTATGTCAAAAAATGAGGGAGGAAAATACATTTCAAGTTGACACAAAGTAATAACTATTTCTTTTTACAATGATAGTAAGATCGCAGGATCAATCACCTTACTACAAATGGACCTGAAGAAAAAACACAATTTAATTATCGCGCTTCTTACTTTTTCTGGAAAAATTGAACGTATACCTATTGGTAGAAAATG